GCAATGATGATGGATGAATCTTATCCATTTTCTTTACTTCGGCTTGGCTTCAACAAATTCTTATTAATTATTTCCTTCAGGCCAGCAATTTTCAGCTGAATAAAACAAGTTTCCAAAATCTTCGTTTGTTAGCTAAATTTTTGCATATTATAATCTTATTATTATTTGAAAGATTCATGTAGCATTTTTTTAAAACAGGGTTTTTAATAATGCAGTTTCAAGAGTATTAATTATTAAAAAAAATGATGCTTTTATTTATAATTTGATAAATCATCACTTGAATTGATGGCTTCTTAGAAGGCTATTTATCTATCTGTCTTGTCAAAGGTAAATTATCTTACTAAAAATGATTAATTTGGAATCTTGTATAATGAATTTTTTATCTTCAATTTCAATTTACTTTGAAACCAACCTCTTTTAACAATTATTAAATAAAGAACAACATATTCAAAATAAAAAAGAATCATTTACAAATTGAATTAATAATTTTTAATGAAGAGATCATTTTTCCACAAAATTCAATTTTTATCAGTAATTTTGTTAGGTTACCAATATATAACTTTGACTTCCACATACTAGATTTGTACTAATATTAATGTGTATAATATTTAAATTTTAAAGCCTCTAACTTATAGTATTCCAATTTTCATTCAATTCTACCTTTGGCTTTAGCCTTAAAATATGAAACTAATAATTAATTTAATTAGGCATGATATATGGACGATCAATAGTCTTACATCACCTTCTCAATAAATTATCACCAATTTAATAATGATTTTGTTTTAAATTTTATATTTTTGAAAAAATAAATTTAATTATTCTGCATTTTAAAAATCATAACCAACATTTTTTAAAATTGACAAAAGAAGTCTAAAAATCTAAAAAATACTTTTGAAAATGTACTAAGGTTCCAAAAATGTTTTAGTGAAAATAAAATGCAAGTAAATTTGCTAACAAATTAGTATACCAATTGAAGATTGTTATTAATTAGTTAGAACCTAAATTGTTATTAAATGAGACTTAATTTTTGTAACAAGAAAAAGTTAATGAATATTGAATTTGACTAAAATTAAGATTATAAAAGCTATGTAGAAAATAGATTTATTTTTTATTTTTTATTTTTGGAAATCAGTTTTTAGAGGCACAATATTTAAAGGTGGGTCCAGTTTGGCATAGGATGTTATGATGGAACACATTCTTTTTTGCCATGCAACTTTGTGCCATTACCCAAAAGAAAAAGAATGGCTTTCATTTTATTAAAAGGTGGGGAAAAAAAGAGCAAATATAAATTATGTTTTTCTTTTCTTTTTATAATTTATAATGTAACTCGATAAAAAAAATGTTGATCATGGTTAAATACTTTTACTTCAGAGTCGTTACGGATGGTTTGAATCTTCATTCCCTTATTTGTACTACTGACATAATAGTACTTGAAAAGAAATACATGAGACCAACTTTTATTACAATATTTATATTTATTAAGATAAAATAATGAGATTATGAAAGAGATGAAATAGGGGTATAAATATGGTTAAGGGCTATTATTATTCTCTTATATATGAGTGTTTTTTTTCCTAAGAAAAATCAACTTTAGCCCTTCTTAGATAATGGATTGTTCATATAAACAAACCCAATAAAAGAAAATAAAACAACCTCTACAAACCAATAACCTAATTATGTTTATTATTATTATTTGTTCTGAAAAAAAAAACTATATCTTTCGAAAACAGCTCCCATCAAATTTTACATAGTTCAAGTTTTTCCACCTTCTTGTTAATAAAATCAATTTCTTTTTTTTATTGTAAAAAAAGAAAAAGAAAACAAACGAGTCGAAGAATTACGTAATATTATTTTCTTTCATAAAAAAGATAGTATATTGAAAATGGGAGGATAAGGTGGGTGTGACAATTAATTATATTCTAGAGAAAATGGACATTTCATTTTCAAATACTACAATCCAAAAGGGGAAAAACAAAATATATGGGAAGCACTTATACCACATTTAGTGGGAATATGAATAAAAATAGTGATATTGTAGTTGTAAATGTAATGCTTGGCATCATACTTTCTTTTTTCTTTTTTTTTTTCTTTTCATTTGGAATATCCTCTTCCTCTATACTTGAATGAAACCTTTTTCAAGTCCCACTACTTTCTTTTTCACATTTGGAAAACTTGTCCTTTCTTTTCTTTCCTAATTTCTTTATTTCAATTTCAAAAATTAACTTCCTATTCATTTATTTTCTGCTACGAAAGAGGATCCGTCTAAGCCTTAACAATGTCTCATTTCAACATTGGAGGAAGCATGTCATGGAAAGAAAGCAAGATATGTCAAGAGTTGTAGAGAAGAGCTAGATAACACGTGTACATCAAGTAATGGCAAATATTTGGAACATATTTTATTGGATTGTCATTCTTTTTCATTTATTTAATTACGTTTAATGTATACGATATTCCTTATTGAGAATTTTAATAAATTTTGTTAACATTAATAATTTTATGATTATATCTGTGAAAGTATAAGAATTTGTACAATTTTAAAGGGCGTTCAAGTACAAAAACTAGGTTATAATCTAAAATTTTATGGCTTAAATTCTATTTTTCAGTGGATTCACGCTTACTTTGTTTTGACCTCGTACTTTCGAATATTTTACTTCTACTTTTGTATCTATAGCTTTATATTACCATTTTTTCCCCTTGTCGTTAATATTTTCGTTTTTTTTTTAACTATAAGTCAAAGTAGGTAAGACACATAGTACCTTTCTTAATATTGAAAGTTGTTTTTTTAATGCTAAATGTATTTGTTATAAAAGTAATTATAAATAATGTGAAATTCAAGATTAGTTACTGTCAGAGGCTACTTGTCGTCTGCCATGTGTCCACACCTTTTAGTGAGAATTTATATGAAATAGTAATGTAGAAATTCAACAATAACTCAGCACATGGTAGTTGAGCTGATCTACATTTCGCCTATTGGCCAACCTACTCTAGGTACGAGCTAACCTTGAAGAACACTGGCAGGCACGAGACAACGAGGATGTTCCCTGACAACACACCATGTTTCTCAAGATGTCAGAGAATTGTTAGAGTAGTGTCGGAAGCCCTGTCGAAATTCATCTCTATAAGTAGAGATCCCTGCCTCCCATGCAAGGTACGCGATACTATTCTTACTTTGAATAATAGATCAAATCGAGTACCAACTTGCTCATCGGAGTACTAATCCTATTTGACATTCGTCCCTCGTTTATAGACTTTGAAAAAATAATAGTAAAAAGGAATGATTTTAGATTGTGAAGTATTATGTAAAGTTCTTTGGAGGAAAAAATAATGAAATCATTGCGAAATTAAAGCTTATGACAAAAAATAGAATTCAAATTAAATTTCTAATTAATCAATAGTCAATTTCATTTAAAGCATAGCTTTTTAGACCTGACTCTGTCTGAGGTTCCTAATGTCTTAGGGCAACCCTATTAATTATTTTGAATTAATTGTTTCTATTAAAAAAAACATACTTTTAATAGTTACTCCATTTAAAAAATTTAATTTAATTTTACCAAATCGTGGTATATCTGAAATAAAATTCATAACAGAGATTTCATAAAGGGCGAGTAAATTAAAAACATTAATTATAACCTCATAAATTTATTAGATGAATTTTAAGTAAATTCTAAATAATTTTTATTTCTTAGTATATTACAAGATAAAAACGAAATAGGAGACGTAATTTCTTTTTTTCTTTTTCTTTTTTTGAAAAAGCAAACATATTTCTATTAAATGAAATAGATATATTAACAATGTATTTGTAAATATGTCTATCACTTTTTATTTTTACAAAGACAATATATTGTGTAGTTTTAAAAAATATGATAGGTGTGATGCTTTGGTTATTTTATACTTCTATATTTTGTTATTTCTGTACTTTTGAAAATTTGTTGCTATTAATATAATATCATTATTTTAATTTATTATATTTTAATTCCCTCTATTTCCTAATAACAAAAAGAGACAATTTGGGATTATAATGATAATATTTCTTTTATATTTTTAATTAAATTAAAGTAGGATAAAAAATTTACACACTATATCAAAATCTCAAATCGTCCGGCTTTGGCAATTGAACTATTACGAATAGGTAATAAAATCGTATTTGGTTGTTCGATGATAGTAACACACATAAGAAAAAGTTCGAGACGTTTATTCTCACGTTTGACTTAGAACATAAACAATATCCTTTTTTAACTCATAAACTTTCAAAATTCAAGATGAAAAATCTTCCAATTTAAAAGGATTATATATTAATATTTAGTCATGTCATCACTTACATCAAATAAACAATAGAATGACATATAATATTTTTTGTAAATAATTAACATAGTACTTAATTGTTAATTAATATAATAAAAATGAAAATACACATATCAATAGATTATTATTATAATTGGAGTCCATTAATATTTAAATTTATTGACCAAAATAAGCATACTTCAATAGATAAGACATATATGATTGTTTCAAAAGTTGATGATTCGTTCTATAGTCCATACCATCGTTGAACTAAAAAAAATTAATTTATTAGATCATATAAATCAATTACCATATAAATTGAAGGGAGAAAAAAAATATTATATTGGTAACTTCTTTTAATATTATATTTGTTATTTGCTGATATTTTACAAAATAAAGCCACCCACTAAACTTCTTTTTTCTTTCAAAAAGAAAATATTTTGGGGGTTGGAAATTTAAATACATAAAAGAAGTAGGACCACAAATGCAAACAAAAAAAACAAAGAATAGTTGGAACAAAATGACAAATACAGTGATACGAACACCAACTATTGCTATTGCTTGGAACGAATTAAAAATTTTCTTTTTTTTCTCTCTTCTTTAAAGATTAAAGAAAAGTGAAATGAATAAATTAAAAAAAAAAGGAAGTTGAAGAAACAAACAAAGGAAAATCGTAAAGAATAGATGGAAAAAAAAATGGGGTTGTATGGGTATGGAGGGGGAGGGTGTTTTCTGCAGCAGAAACCAGAACTCCATTCTCATGGGATGAGAGAGAAACAGAGAGAAAATCAGAGTGGGGTAGAGAGAGAAAATGGGTTTTTGATTTTGGGTTTAAGGGAAGGGGGAGAAGGCTGTTGTTCCACCAACTGGTAGTTAGGGATTGAGCTTCTTAACCAAACGCGAAGAAGAAGAAGAAGAAGAAGAAGAAGAAAAAGAAGAAGAAGAAGCAGAAGAATGAACAGTGAAGCATTTCTTTGAACTGGGTTTCAACCAAATGATCAAATAAAAGCAGCCACAGCCACAAATAGAGAGGGCTCTTTTTTGTTTTTGGGGGTGGAAAAAGAAGAGACGGATAAATAAAGAGAAATTAAAGTCATCATTTAGAGAGAGAAAGAGGAGATGTGTGTTACTCTCACGTGGGAATTGATGCAAATTATAGATAAGAATCGTATGGTTTTAAATTTGTAGATTGTCTTCAAAATCGAAGTCCATACACCTCGCTCTCTCTCTGTTCTGTTTGATTCTTCTGGGCTTTCCTTCTTTTCGTTTTTACCCCCTTTCTTTGAGATCTATTGATTTGTTTTATAGTTTCTATACTTTAATCCCATGTGTGTTTCGTTTATGTTTCTGGGTTTTGGAGAAATACCATTATAAAGTGAGATTTAGTGTTGTGTTGGTATCTGGGAATTACTTGGGATTTAAACGTGTTTGGTTGGGGGAAGATTGTTTTGGCTCCGCCGATCGGATGCTGTTTCCGAGCTTTTCTGTTCCCCTCTACGCCCACAATCGTCGCGGGTTTCCTGGTAATTTTATCTTAAACTATACTTATGCTCAGTCACTTTATTAATTCAACAATAAACTTTATAATATTCAATTTGGGTTTTCTCTTAGTATGCTAAGAAAGTAATCCCTTGTTCATTTCTTCTGCTGATTAGTTCTGCATGCAGGTTATGAGTAGCTCTTTGTTTGCTTCTTTTTCATTTCAGTTGTTTTTGTTTCTTCTTCTTCTGAGGGGGGCCTTATGTTTTTGTCTTCTGTGATTGATTGTTTTTGCTGTAAATTGGTTGCTGTCAATATGGTTTGTAGATTTGTCTGTAAATTGAGTGACTGGAGAATCTTTAATTTAGTTATCAATATCATGCTTGTTTAACAACTTATTAGTCATTAGTTAAAAGCTTGTGAAGAAGTATGAAATTGAAAACCCTAGGAATTTGCCATCTTGGGTTGAGTTTTTTTTCTTTTTTTTTGGTTGATTTTTCCTTTGTTGAGATTCAATTGAACTTTGATTTATTGATGACTGAAAAAACTATGTTAGGTGACTACAATACTTGATTTTCATAACGGTCAAAGCGGAGAAGTTCGAATTGAGAGAAAAGAGATATGGCTACTTACTATAGCTCGAATAACGAAAGGGATACTGCTCCCATCCTCTATTCAAGGGGAGCTTTGCTTGGTTCATATGAAGAAACAGCAGTTCTTCCCCGGAATATGATGATGCATGTGAATTCTGGGACATACATGGATTCGCAAAACGGTTGTGGTCAGTTAACGTCAGTTGGAGCTGCAGGAACCACCCAACAGCAGCAAGAATTTTTATCGAATCTCGGTGGTTCCCAAATTGCTGAGCATGATTTCAATACATGGAGAGAGGACAGAAGTGAAATGCTAGGTACGAACTCGATGCGTGGACCGGCCAATGTTCTTCATGGTGGGCAGAATTTGCAGGGTCAGGGGTTATCCCTTACTCTCAGTACACAAATACCATCTGGCATCCAAATACCTTCAATCCCATATAGGAATTCGGATATGGGTTTAACTTCATTCTCGAGTCCTAATCCGTCTAATTCTGGTGAGGATGGCTGCAGAGATGGCGGTTCTAGAGACGAACCGTTGAGAAATGGAGAAAACTTGCCACCTAATTTTCAAGAATTGGCTAAGGGTGAATTATCTCAGTACAACATGTCTAGTATTGCAAGAACCATGCCCAATTCAAAGTACCTCAAGGCAGCTCAACAACTGCTTGATGAAGTTGTTAATGTCAGGAAAGCCTTAAAGCGACCAAATAATGAGAGAAACCCGAGCTCACATGACCATGAAACTAGGAGCACAAAGAACGGTGATTCAGGAACCAAAAATGACAGTTCGATGCTCACAGCTAGCGGAGTATCTTCGAACCCTCAAGAAACTGGTAGCAATTCAACATGTGAGCTCTCACATGCTGAAAAGCAAGATTTGCAGAACAAGTTGACAAAGCTTTTATACATGTTGGATGAGGTAATGTACTATCTTGTATAGATATATTTATTTTGTTGTGAATTGAACTAGTATAAAAGATGAAAGCCTCAACATTTCATATATATATTTATTTTGATATGAATCGATTTTCTCCTGATTATGTACAAATAAAGTTGCTAAACTTGAAAAGTGGAAATCGAGTTATGATATTGTTTTAATTTGGAAGAGACAAGATTCTGAAATCTCCTATAAGTGTTGGTAATAATATGCCTGTTATAGGAAGTATAACATTGAATCTTTGACATTTTTGCACACTAGACTCAGCTTCCAAAGACTTCTTGCGGATAATGCAGCAGCTGAACCGATATTCTGATACTGATGCAGTTAAATTCGATAATTGTCCTTTCTGAAGTACTAGCTCGAGGTCTAATGATCATCTTGTCTTGCAGGTTGATAGAAGGTACAATCAGTATTATCACCAGATGCAGATTGTGGTGTCATCATTTGATGTGATAGCAGGATGTGGAGCTTCTAAGCCATATACTGCACTTGCGCTCCAGACTATATCCCGTCATTTTCGGTGCTTGCGGGATGCAATAGCTGGCCAAGTTAGAGCTACCCGTAAAAGCCTCGGAGAGCACGAAAATTCTGGAAATGACAAAGGAGTTGGAATCACTCGTCTTCGATATGTGGACCAGCAGTTAAGGCAACAGAGGGCTCTTCAGCAGCTTGGAATGATACAGCAGCATGCATGGAGGCCTCAAAGAGGGTTGCCCGAGAACTCTGTTTCGATTCTCCGTGCTTGGCTGTTCGAGCATTTCCTTCATCCGTAAATCTCTAACACTAGTATTTCTCTTTGTATTCTCTCTACAGTACCGAAATTAAACTTACTAACTTGCCAGGTATCCAAAGGATTCTGATAAAATCATGCTGGCAAGGCAGACAGGCTTGACTAGAAGTCAGGTAAAGCTCAGAAAATAACTTATTTACCGTTTGTATTCATGTATTGTTTGAATTGCCTGGGCGATGAATTGATTGTTGAATGTGTTAATTATAAAGATCAAAACTCCAACTGGGAAAGGGCTTATCTGCTAGAAACATGGCTCTAGAAAGATTATTGATCATCCATAGTATTTTGAATCGGTTGGTTTGATATGTTGGGAAAGTTCAAATCTTGGTCATGTCCTGTCTGCTGAATGTAGCTAGCTCCATGTTAAGTTCACATTTTATTTCTCCAACATGTCTATATTTACCTTGCATTTTCTCTCTTTCTAGCTTCCTTTAGTTATGTAACTTAAATACTAGTTCTTACAGTACGCCATGTTCAGCCCCTCATACGAAGCCAAGTCACCAATCACCGTGCTTTTGGCCATCCTTTCACATATTTCTTCGATTTAACTGCATCCCTTATAACTTTACTTACACGTGTTTTCATTTTGTGTGTAACGTCCATGGGCTTGTGCAGGTCTCTAATTGGTTTATCAATGCACGTGTGCGTCTTTGGAAACCAATGGTAGAGGAGATGTACAAGGAAGAGATAGGCAGTGCAGACATGGACTCTATATCATCATCTGAAAATGCTGGCAGGGCAACCAAAGGAGATAACAGGACCTTGGAGGATGATAAAGAGGAGGATCTGCAACAAAGTGCAAGTTCAACAGGCACCGAAAGATGTAGCGCTGGAGATATTATGGATTTGAAATCTGATCAAGTCTCCAATCTTGGATATTCGAGTTCCACCCGGCTAGCCAGCTTCCAAAATGGTGCTCACATAGAACCGCAAAACGAGCTGGTGAAGTCAAGGGAGGAGCTAAGGCCTAATGTAAATAACTCCAATTTCTTTCCTGATGCAATTGTACACTCTCAAGCAGGGAGTGACAGGTTTATGGCTGCTGCTGCTGCCTATCACATGTCTGAATTGGGAAGGTTCAGGACGGTTAGCGGGGTATCGCTTACCCTGGGTTTGCAGCATTGCGAGGGCGGTGGCATACCTATGCCTGCTGGGACACATCATGGTTTTGCAGCCATGAGAGGAGATGACATGTACAATGCCACAGCGTCTTCTCTCGGGGAAACAGTTCACTTTGAATGTGTAAATGCCGGGAACCCGCAACCGAGGTTCGGAACTTCTCACCTTTATCATGATTTTGTTATGTAAAAGTGCAAACTGTACAAGATTGCTGATCTGCATCATATAGTAGATGATATGACCACTGGGAGGAGCAAAGGAACAAGGATTTCTCTGCATTAGAACATAGGCTGTTCCTTTGAGCAATTTCCTTGCACTGCAAGATGATAAAAGAATGATTTTTGTCCTCCTTATATCATATATATGATAAAACCATATTTGTAATATATCATGTAGTTGATTGGAAGGTTACCTATATTTTTCTTGTCTGTGGTTTTCTTGTCTGCACTGCGCATGATTCAATTAGTGCCAAACTTTTGTTTCCCACAGAAAAATGTTATCATTTGAATAAACTTGAAGTGATTTTGGCTGGATAAACCTACTTTTAGAAGGAACTTTGAGAGCATGAGGTGCAACTTGCCGTACATTTTAAGTTCAAATTTCTCCGGGTTCAATTTTAGTCTGTGTACTTTCATAAATGCATTAATTGATCGTTCCAGTTAAATATAATCTATTTTTTTAGTACAAACACATGGGAGTGAGGATTCGAACTTTTAATCTTATGGTTAGATACATGTGCTTTAATCCGTTGTAATGTTGTGTATGCCAAAATTAATACGATGCAATGTCTACGTCATGTCATGTTCTTTTTATTGTTTAATTGAATAATTGATGTTGAGAATTGAGATGTTCCAAAGCACAAAAGGATTGTCTCCAATAAATGTAAACTTTCATCAATAATTTTAGAGATCTAATCTTTTGACTAAGAAAATATAGACCTTACTTTAAGGTTTTATATGAATGTTATAAAGTTCAATAAATGAACTAACACAGACAATGGTCTTTAAAATTGGGCTAAATTTTATGGACCACTAGGAATTCGAGTGACCATTCAACTTTGAGCACAAGAAATTGGGTGGCTTTTATTGACATTAAATTAGATGTATATGATACAAATTACAATAATACTTTAAACAATATATATGTTTTTTTTTGTTTGACAACGAAACAATATATGTTTTAATCCTTAATGTTTAGATGTTTATTGAATTTTATCTATATTGTTTAAAAAGTTTCAATTACTTCTTAATGTTATAGCATTGTGTCAATTTAGTTCTTCGGTATTTGAAAGGTTAAAATTGACCGATAATAAATTTATATGATATAATAAATACTTGGTTAATTAACAAAAATCTAGAGAAAAAAAGGTCATTAAAGGGAGAAATTTTTCTAAGTCCTCATTTGAGTTTCTAAGAAATGAGTAGAAATTTCAAGTACTTTTTTCTTCTCTAAATTTTCACCAATTCACTAAATTATGTAAGTTTATCATCGGTTAATTTTAACATTCCTCAATATGAGAGACTGAATAATAAAAATATTAAAAGATAAGAAACTAAATTAAAACTTTTTAAACACTAGGAACTAAAATGAAAAAAACTCCCCCAACGTCAGCAAACTAAACTATATATTTTGCCAATTTTAAAATATAGTTTTGGAGATGACAATCTTATACTTAGGGTTAGGGTTAAATGAGCAAGTCCCAAATTCAAATCACTATTTTTTTTTGTGTGACTTCTGGACACAGGTGACAGGACAATAGATGCCCATTGCTTGTGAGATTAATTATCTTGCAATTTTTAAATAAAATATTGTAGGTTCAATAAACTCTTGCTTATGATTGATTGGTAAATGAACTTGGCTTGAACGCCTACTACAAATTCCTAATCATTTCCATATATTTTCTAAATGTGTACGTTGAATGTGTCATTTTCAACGTACGTTCAATAAATAAAGAAAAAGCTATCGATCTTTCACCCCACCCCACGTATTGTATTAAAAAATAATAATAAATAAATAAATAAACAGAGAAAAAAAATCCCTTTTTCTTCTTTTCTTTTTGTTTTTTTAATCTAACAAAGAAACTGAGAAAAAATCTCTCTGAATCAAACTAACAACTGTTTTTCAACTTTATACTTCAAAAAACTGAATTGATATAGTTCGACCAACTGAACTAATTCAGTTCTGTCCATCCATTTTTTCAGTTTCAGCTTACACCCAAATTGGAAGTCCTATATTCAGTTCATAATCACTTCATTCTTGGCTCCGTAATTCCACATCTGAAGATGGAATTCTGATCCAAAGGGTACCTGTAGCTCCATAATTTTTTTTAAATGAGAAACCGAACTTTTTATCAAGAAAAACGAGAAAAGAACTCATGTACAAGGGTATACAAAAAAAAACTCAGCCCTACAACAGAAGGCCCACCTAAAGAAAGGGCAATCCAAAATGATAATTCCTAACTAATAGTTACAGAACTCGAAACTGACCCTAAAGGGAAGTATTAAATCTAATGAACTATCAAACATACTCCCTAGCTCTCTCCACTCCTGAAGATTCTAATATTTCTTTCCATCAAAATAACCACGTAATAGCGAAGGCAAGCCTAACACAAAAATCTTTCCCTTCTCTTGGTCGATATCGACAATCCAATTCTGCATGAAGGACCTAGAAAAGGTCAGCGCGGCAATCAAAAAATACCTGCTTTTGACACTACGTTGTGCAGACCCGAGAAGGAGGGAATAAGCCTCATCTATACAAGTATTATAGCCGGGTTTACCTGGAAATAGTAAAGAGCAGAATGTCAGGAAAATATATTTTGGAACTGAAGTAGAGATCAATGAAAGAGGATATACAGCGGGCTTACCTTCTGTACAATACTCTGACATCTTGACTTAGAAGTGGGGTTTCGAGAAAATCATCACCACAATCTTTCACGTCAACAGTTTCCACTTCAAAGTCATGATAGCCGCAGTACTCGTTCCATTCAAACCACATCTTTGCAATCAGTTCCTTCTTGAAACAAGCACCATGATCTTCCTCTTCAGGTGAATCGGCAGCTACCAGTCGATATGCAAACACCTTCTTTTTTTGGCCAGGACGGAATGCACGACCAATTGCTTGGCGGGTGACAGACGGATTCAGATGAATATCCAAGATGAGGACACGTGATGCCCCTACCAGAGATATGCCCTCCCCACAAGCCTTAATGGAGCCAAAGAAGACTCTAGCATCCGGCGAGCTATTGAAACGTTCCATAGACCATTCCCTTTGCTCGGGAGTTGTTTCACCAGATATCATAAAGGTTTCTCGTCCTGGACTCCAACCCTTCTTCTGCACAACCAATCTCTCCATGAACTTCAAAGGAAGGAGGTATTGACTGAAAACCAGCAGCTTTTCCCCGGTAGAAGCGCACAAATTCACCATGTTGAGAAAGAATTTTGCCTTCACTCCATCTTTAACATCTAATTTCTCAATGACCTCATCTATTTTATCATCAGTCACGACAACATTCTCAGATTCAGAGAAAACATTTAATTTTGGATGCAAATAGACAGCACAACCAGCAGAACTTATTTTGAACTTCCTGTTATATTGCTTTTTAACCTTTTCAGCTTCATGCTTCTGTTTAGAGGTGAGATTTAGCACCACAGTGAAGTCAACCAGTCCAGGGAGCTCATCCAGGAAATCTCCTTTATAATAGTGAAGGATCTTGCTGGTCATCTCACGTAAATCATGGATGACAGTCACTTTTCTCCTGAAATCTGTATCCTTCTGAAGCGTGTGTTCCACCAAGTCGTAAAAAGCAGCATCCACTCCTGCTTTGACCTGCTTCCGTGCACCAGATATATCCACTCTCGACATGATGCGCTTGATGATAGGTCGAGAAGTTTCTGATCTCATGAACTTTGGTCGAACAAGATTCACTATATTGAATACCTCTTTAACATTATTTTGATACAGGGTTCCTGAAAGAATTACTTTTCGTGGAGTTCTAACTTTGGCAAGAGTTTGCACAATATCGGTGTTTTCATTTCTTGGAGTATGCCCCTCATCTAGAATAAGAATTGTAGGAACCTTGAGCAATATATTTTGACATGCAGTTGCTGGAGCACTAGTTTCAACGTCACAGACAATTGTGGAAAATTGTTTGTATCCTAAGAACAGAATACTCTTGTGCTCGACCCACTGATTGAGTACTGCCAGCTGTTGAGACCTATTATCTGCTTTAACGGAATAGAAATCATAGAGTGGAATATCTTCCACTTGCCATATCTGAAACTCCTTTTTCCATGTAGCCAAGATTCCTTTCGGAAGCACAACCAATGGTCTAGCCTGTGGATACTTGGCTAAAAAACTTTGCATGAAACTGATTATCATGAATGTTTTTCCAGATCCAGGAGCGTGGGCCAAAATGCAGCCTCCTGGATTGTCGGTCACCAAGTTGCTTACAAGGAAGTTGAAACCCTCAACTTGATGAGGCTTCATTTGCTTCATATGCCTAGGGTGTACAGAAATTTCAGTTACCGTCAAATCGTCTTCTGAAATTTTAACTCCAACAACATCGCCCGATTCTTTGTTACGAGATTCAGACATGTATGTTCTTGTGTTCCTCTTACCCTGGAATAGAAATACAAATCATTGCAATATTAAGTTCACAAAAGATGATAGAGCTGATAGCAATAGTAGATCATAAATAATTCAGGATTTTTCAACATTGTTTCACTTTTAAAGGACATAACTGGTTATGTCGATCTGAATTCTTATTTACAAATTAATAAACCAAGCTATTATTCAATCCAAATAAGCTTAAAAGATCAGACAAGTTTAAGACTTAATATTACTGCAACCCAAATAAGGCCTCGCTTTGATCTTAAATCATTTAAAGGGTGTGGGAAAAAAAGTGTGAAGAAAGTAGTAGTGATTTCTTCTTCCAACATATTAATCTTTCACGCTTACTATTTACAATGCAAGTATAATCTCCAGAAAAGCTTCATTCACATATGTCTATTCCATTCTCAGATGTCAGATTTGAGACTCAAGATTAATAAATCAGTGCCACATCCATAGTATTCATCAGCCTGAAGCAACTGCAAAAATTGCAACCAAAGTTCTAATGGGCAATGATGTTTTAAATTATTTAGCACGTATAAGTTCATACGACTAAACAGAGAACTTATTTCACACAATTGAGTTGCCATGTGATAACCCAGCTAACTTTAATAGGAATATCGTCCTTTAGCAAAATCTTTGAATTTGTGACCTTCACTTGAATAGGATCTGTTCTATAGTATCTGTTATATAGGTTTCCAACTGAAAATGCTTGAATTATATATTTTATTCCATGTATACGAGTGAACTAAAACCACTTAGCTGTTTAACTTCTACATGTAAGCAAACTAATAATACAATAAGATATAAGTACGTCAATTGGCAACAGGAACACAAACCTTGTTATACTGAAACTCAAAAATGGTCTCAATCCCCCTGTCAATTACCCCACAAATGCGGCAGACATAACCAAGATCATCCTTCAAGAGAAAAGAATGATCACAGTCCACAGCATCTTCACTTTGCTGATTAGATGATGAATCTACAGGGGCGTCCATGTCCTAGAAGAACATGGAAAAAGTTAAGTGCAAGAATTATAACAACAATCAACATGCAAATAAAAGTACATCATCATATGAAAGATACAACGAAATATCCTAATGAAAAGTTTTCGTTTTAAAAAGTGAAATTCATCACCAAAGTTTCGAACCAATAATATAAAACCACAATATCCAAAGCTCCATTCCCAAAGATTGCAAGTGTTGATCATAACAATAAAGGAAACAGAGATGTACAATTCAACTTTAACACATATATAATTAAGATTTTTTTCACAATAAACAATAATGAAAAGCTACAACAATATTAAATATGCAAGACTCCCTTTAGGTGTATACAAAGATCTCCTCAACTGAAAATTAAAAATCAGAAAAAAAAATCTCACAAAAAATGTGCCTCAAAATTACATTTACAACTAACATCATTTAAGAAATTATTGGGAATAATTGCCAAAAGAAGACAAAGTACACCCAATAGAAGCTTTGTGTTTAGCTACACAAAATCCACTCTAGAGCTTTGTCATCAAAGGCCTTTGATTTCTTTTAAACCAAGTTTATGAAATAATTGTTTTGAGATAAAATAACAAGTTTGTTTCCCAAACTTCAAAAATTATGTTTAATAAGTCCCTAAACATAAAAAGTATACCATAGATCCCAAAACTTTCAATGTTGTGTTTAATAGGTCCCTAAATTTTAAAAGTAGTTAATAAACCTCTGAATTTTCAATTTTGAGTCCAATAGATCCCTAAACTTTAAAAATGTCTCATAAATCAAGGATCTAGTCCATAAACTCTGCTTCTCGAAAAATTTGTAAGATAATGTTTTGGAACATTTTTCAAACAACCAAATTTCTTAAATAATTGTAACATTCAACCAAATTTTTTTTTCAATAAGATACTGAACCTTTTTTTCATTAAGACTAATGAAAACAAAAAACATAAACAAGAGCATACAAAAACAAAAGCTTGGAAGGAGGAGCCCTATCTAAAGAAAGAGCTTCCAATCCAAAAGAATAGAACCTAACTAGTAATTATAAAAGACCTTCCAAACATAACCTTGTAAAGAGATATTAAATCTAATGAGATTCCAAACTGACTCTCTATCTCCCTCCACCCCAACTTAACTTGAACTTTGCTTTTGAACTTTACTCCAAGAAGTGTGAAATATTGTTTTAGAACATTTTCCAAACACCCAAGAAACTTGAAAACAAAGCAACAAATTCTCCCAACATTTACAAGTGTAATAGCAGTGAAAAAAGAGACGATCTTGATCATCACTATCTTTTAATGGCAGTGAAAAAAGAGATGATCTTGATCTTAATTATCTTCCAAACAAATGGTTATAAAGCTAACAGAGGCAATTTTCTTTTTAATTTGTATGACTGTGTTTAAGGATTGTTTTAGAAGAAACAATAATTTCATGGGATGAAAATAAAAAGTGGAAGGAGTGGACCTCCCAACCACCCAAGTTGGACTATGAAAGGCCTTCTCCACTGCACTGTAAGAGTAGTAAGACTATAATCCTTAAAAGGGGCAAACATTTACACCAGTATGAAGCCATAAAAATAACTGAGTCTATGTTCAAGTCAATATTTAACAAGATCCAGACTAACACATTAACCCTCTAAAGACTTTCAGACTTCCAACAAACTTCACTCAAATGCCTCTATAATTCAACACGTTGCAGAATATGAAAAAGAGCTGAAGGAAACAGCAGCAATGTAAGACCTATCTATATGTATAACAACAATACCTTGGAAAATTCTAATGCCATTTTCATATCGTTCCAGATATCTCCAAGACCATCATCTTCACTGTTAGCTTGTTCACTGACCTCATCCTCGTCCTCTTCTACACCAACGTAAACACCTTTGTCTTTCTCTTTCTTACAAAAAGTTTCAGCAACAGGAGTTGCTTCCTTCCCATTTGAAGCTCGGGAGACCTACCGATCATTCAATAAATTGGACGGGCATGGTTAAGGGTAAAACAATGGCCAATGAAGAGAGAGAGACTAGAACTGACACTTCACAAGAGAATCTGTCCTTACAACATATGCAAATTATCTTCAACTCTAAATTTCAATAATATATTTTCATAAAGCATTACATGTAGACAATGATTAGTAGGACTAATCAATGTATAATATTGAGATTATAAAATGTTGTATAAATTTCTATCATGTTATCAGTTCTCTCTCCATGTTTAGAATTAGATCTAGAACACTTCCCAACAAAATTGAATAAACTAAATACGCCATCAGTAATGTGTTCAAAGTTTTTGTGGAAGATGTTTGGATTGGGTATTCATCTTTTGAGATTTTATTTCATTAAAATTCTTTACTTCTTTGGATCAAAGTGCTCTTATTTCCTCTTTCACCTCTGATGTCCACAATGCATATTCTCCAAATTTGTTTAATTCTTAATTGAGAGGATTGGAGATGTTGGCTTTGGTTCCTTTATTTATGGATAATTTTTAGGTAATTTTATCTATAGTTCTTAATTCACTCTCCTTAAATCCAATCAGAGAATCTGATGATATCGTATACTTTATAAGTTATTGAAGCCTTCTAAAAGTAACATGTTATATATATATTGGGAACAAACGATGTAATAAATAAAAGAATAACCATATCAGTAGATTCTAGCATTGGGAAGCTCTTTCCAATTCTTTTGTGAGGGAAAATAAAATAAGTAGCATTTTATAAAGGAAATCACCTAATTGTTGTTGTTTTCTACACTTTGTGTTTTTTGGTATACTGAAGGTGATCTTTGACCCACTTGTTTCTTCAAAGAGAGTCTACAAAGGATTTGTAGAACAATTTTTTTATGGAGCTTGAAGTTTGTTGGTTTTTTCAAAAAACATCTCTTCCATCTTTCCAACGATGTTTTGGATGAGTGGCTCCTACAAAGAGAATGGTTTTTGCAGAACTACATTTTCTTGCTTTTGTAGTTGGACAAAAATAATAATTTATGCTGAGTCATTGAGACAATCTAGGTTCAAGATGTTTATTTCTTTTCTAGTAGAAAGGTATTGCCTACTGATTTAATCTTTTTGCTAGTCTGCATTGTAGATGAAGTACTTCCTCAAAATTAGCTATCCTTTCTTATGTTCTTAAGAATTTATTATCCTCTTGATTTTTTGGTTGTATAAGCTACTGCATGTGATCTGGTTATTTACCTTTAACAATTTAGGCATGTATGAGTCACAATATTCAGTTTCATATACATGTTTAAGTTCCATACATGCAACTACAGTAACATAGATGTCTAACAAGCTCACCACTATGTCCTTCAGGAGACCTTGTCCAGGTGATCTAGCCAGCACAACCTCTTGAAAGGGATGTATACGCTTCTGATCTTTGCTTTCTTCCTCATCAGAATCAATAATTACAATAGGCAATCGTGACTTCTCAACATTGTTGGAACGAACATCAATGGCAGAATCATCCTCCAAATCAATGAGATTATGAACCAATTGGGAATCTTGATGATTCATAACCTCTGTACACTCTTTACTTCTTCCCAGATCAAAGAGCATACTTGACAGCGTAGGATACTTCGCAATGTAAGGACTTAGAACTTCCATCTTGTGGGAAGCAAGGGCTTCAATCTCTTTAGTGACACTTCCAAACTGACCGCAATCCAAACCATCGATCAAAGTATTAATAGCAAATGGATCAGAGTAATCAATTATTCTTGCTGAGTTCTTCATTTTGTTTTTCCTGGGTGTGTCACATTTTTGGGCAGAAAAGGCAGCAGGACTAGGAAGATCATTCCCATTGCTAGATAATTTTAGTCTCTTACGTCTCTCATAATACAGTCCTGAACACAATGGAAGTTAATATGCACAGCATCAGTATTTAACAGAGTACCTCGACAAACTTAACAGAATAAAAATAACATCCTTGAATGATCACATGCTCAGGATTGGCAAAGAAAAACTGAAATCAAGTTGTGTTTTCTCATCAAATAAATAGAAAACTAAAAACAACAATATTGCACCAGGAGAAGAAAAATGAAAATATTAGAAGAAAGAAGGTTTCCTGAAATATCAAGTAAGAAATTGAGATGGGGAGGGGATAGCCTAGCATGGAAGAAAACTAGTTGTTCTCTCTTTTATCCTTCGTACTTGGGTGAAGAAATTCCTAAATAATACATCACGTATCCAATATAAAGCATATTAACAAAATAAAGATTCTTTTTCCACATAAGAATCAGTCCAAATAACAAGTAACTAACACAATGGTCTCAAGACTAAAACCGCGAATGATGCAAATTATAGAACAAAGATATTTTGTGTGTGTTTAGGAGTGATTTTGACATGACCAAAATCACTTTTGCCATTGTCAAAATCACTCCCTTTTCCATTGATCATGTTTCGCAAATTAAAAATTTGATTTTAAGAAAGCTTAAAGTCACTTTAAATTGACTTTTAAGATATCACTTGGATAGTGATTTTGGAAATCAATTATTTTTAAATCTAAATAAGTCATCCTACCATCACTCTAAAACACAACCTTCATTCTCTTGACACCATATAATTAGCCCAATTATGTTAGAGGTCTAGCTTCCTTAGTTGATTAATAAAATTTCTCATCCGTACGGCGCCAATCCAAGTTCCCTTGACCTCTAACATACCATATCCTATTTTATCTTATAGTATCAGGTTTTCTAATTATGTATACCATTTTACGTCCACATGCATTTTAGTCCAACAAAGCCGTA